TGACCTTGAACGTAATACTCGATATCTTGGAGTCAATTTTCAGCAAATTCCAAAAAGGTTCACTTGGTCTGCAAACATTCACTCACCTCATGACTGTAACGGATGTCAAGACCCTCAGCGAGACGCTCAATCAGTTCGACGCATCCGTCGCTGAGGAGAGCATGGGCTCCCGCGAACTGATTCACAGCCTCATTTTGATCCCAATTCCGCCAAGATACCTAAAAATGTGTTGAATTTCCCGACCACATCAAAAAGGTCATTTTAAGAGTCAAATGCAATCATCACAGAAAAAAGTGCGCTAGGTAAAAATCTCACATCGGTCAATTTAGCACCACAACTGAACTCAGCATTTCCGAGATTGAACTGAAAAGCTCGCTCGAATGCATCTCCCCATTTCAGTCGAGTTCCTTTGACGAGTTTCTTGTGTGCAATATTGATTTGATCTGAAATTTCCATTTAGATATGCTGAGGTACAAATCATGCGGAAATCCTAGAATTAACTGTGTTTCAAGATGTAACAGGAACACAACATCTGAATTTTTATTAACAATTATTTCAAATTATCACAACCATACGAAACTCAGTCAGATCACAGAATGGTATAAGAGCACTTAGGGATTTGGGCAACCTACGAAATTAATCGGAACGAAAACAAAATTAATAAATTAAAACTAAAATTGTCCTCTAATCTATTCAAACGAAGGCAATGCCTTCAAACTTGTGAGGGTCATGCAGAGAGGTATCAGGTAGTAGTATCTTTCCATTAATGTCAAATATAGTTACGTAGCTGGCAACCGGCTTTCCGTCTTTCTCTTCGGACTTCAAAGCAATGATGAGGTTATCGCCTGTGTCAGGAATGAACTGCAATGCCGAAAAGCCACGAGCTGGGTGGGTGAGTTCACCTACATGAACCACTTGGAAGGATGACAACGAAGGGTCGCCGATAATCAACAGATTGGTGCCTCTGAAACCAAAATAATCCTTAAAATTATTACATTTTCAATAATTACAATTACTACTTTTTCTGTAGTTTAAATAGAGAAGTAATTGTTAACTTTACCTAGTTTCATCTTCTGCTTCTGTGTATTTTTTATGTGAAGCTCTCCTTGGAAGGAAGAACCATTTTTGGTGCGTATCGGACCACTGCACAGCTTCATGGATCATGTATCCAGGATACTCAATTCCTGCAGCACGTCGGACCTTGATGAAGACGTCGCGCCAGTTCACGTGTCTGATCTAAGAAAAAATAATCATAATTTTGAATACAGCCGTAACATTAAACTAACCATACTATGTCCGCTTCAGTTGGACCTGTTACCGCGCGTGCCACATGGCTATTAACGATATACAAGTAATACTACGAGCGCTTTTTTCTGTTTTTTCTCTGAACGAAGTTGATTTTGAAGAGAAACTGGTTTCAATAACGTAGTCACTCAAATCAGCTTGCTTATCAAAATCAACCTATTTTAAAAGTGAAAAGAGAGAAAATTCCATTCAATCAGCTATGCCTTGATCAAATCAACCGATGTCAAAAGTGAAAAGAGAGAAAATTCCAAGTAACTTGGGAGAACCATCGCGAAAAAAAAACACACAAAAAATGTTGGCAGTATTGTTTGTGTACTACTAGCATTATTATTTATAATACAATTATTTCTAATTAACATAATTTCTAGTAAAAATCTTCCCCAGCCGATTCTATTCAACCCTAAAACTACTAAAAACCTACTTTGCTTAACCAGAAATGGCACGAGACTTTGACTGAAAAGAAAAAAATATTGTAAAATGGCAACATAAAACGAAACATAGTGGTTCTGCCAAAACGACAAGCGGGATGTTGGGGTTTTGGCCTTCGTCGTAAGCCGCGAACTTGTTAGAATACGGGCCACATATCCAAATTAAAATCAGATTCAGTTCTTGGCCTCTTTTCCAAAAACCCAGTTGTTCAAACCGTAGCGTGCTCCCCTTCGTTGGCATTCAGGTTTACCAGTGTACTTGTTCAATGGTGTAGCCCAGTAACCGTATAGGACTCTCATGGCAGAATGTAGAAACTTCATCAAGTCTTCATGGCATAGGTGAGCCCATCGCATTATTCTCGTTCCTTATGAATTTGAACGCTCTACGACTAAGATGGCTGGAGTTAAAATTTTTTGAGTCAAACATGTCTTCAGTGCAACTTATTGCCATTTTCCCTGTACTGCGAATACTTCCCACCTCCCTCTCCCTTCTTTGACAGAAAAAGAATGCTTTCTTAGCCATACTACATCGGCACACTCTACCCAGTGCTAATAGCTCACCCTCATCTCCGTATGTTGCCCACATGGATGCAATTTTCCGCGGTCTCTAGAGTGTGCAAAAGCCGAATTAGATTTCATCGCTCCGATGAAAGCATTAATGAAAAGAATCAGCCTAAAAAATTCTACTCGGGGATTAGTATCGACATTGATTTAAACATTGACTACCAATGAGTAAAAATTACAAATAAAATACAACAATATAAACGACTTACAAGGAAATTTATTTTGCCCAATCTGAATAAAAAAATAAACCTTATATCACTCATTTTGACTACTTTTGACTACCATGCTTAATAAAAAACACGAAAAATAGATCAATGAGCAGGCTACATATAGTGCACCGAAAAAAGGCTGGAGCAAGCCGACAAGTCTTTTCTGAAGTCTTAGCTATTTATCAGCTAAAATCTCATGGAACAATAAGAAGCCATTCGATATTTTCTCCCTCTCTGATCTGCTGAAACACACCTCTCATGCACTAATTTGAAAAACAAATGTTTTAAAAATTAAAAGATTTGGCTTGTTTTAACCTTTTTTTTGTACAGAACGGTTCACGTTGTTCTACACAGGCAGCAAAGCATGATGCACACATCTATTCGCCTTCGCTCACATATAAGGTCGCTGCTGTAATTCATGAATGAAGGACGACTTACTTCACCTCTACGGGATATTACTTTTATCCAGAAGGGATTGTCATTGACGTATTCACCATCAGTAGTTGTCCATTCCTTAAAAGGAGATTTCAAGGCAGTCGCACATTATTGAAATGAATGCGAGCTGAACAGAAAATGTCACCTTTCCCAAACCTCCAGCATAAAGATGCTCATCTTTCACAGTTAACCATTCGACCTTCAGCCCTTTAGTAGAGTTCCCAGGTCCATCATTCAAGAAAATCCAAGGATATGCCTGAAAGCGAAATTACTAAATTTTTGAAATATCAAAAGAAATGAACGCGCTACCAGACTTGGCAGCGAAGAGAGCACTCTGAGATCGAAAATGGCTACCTTATTATCCCGAATTTCATAAATTAAGCCAGTTCTATCATCTCCAACAAGAAGTCGGCCATCAAAGACGACGAGGTCGGACAACTCCATGGCGCGATCACCAGAAGCTATTTGACTAGAAACAAAGCGAATTTCATACTCTTTCACATCAGCCTGTTTAATAAAAGTTTTACTCACGTGGAGAGGGCGAAATCCGAGCTGGCCTTCCATTCAACAGACACTTTGCTATGATCAGGACTAATTCTCAAAACACCGCGCTTCGCATAACTGGTCCACTTTTTGCTGGAGACCTTGCTGTCATGATCAAGATCAGTAACTGCCAGTAGATCGATCTCAACTGTTCCATCATTGGATATTCTAGCTGTGTGTATTTGACTGTGGTTGAAACCAGGATCCTGGAAAATAGGGGATCATTCGGGTATCACTTGATGATCTCTCTCATGTTCATTAAACCTGTTTGCGAATAGAAACGTGCCATTTGCGCCTGCTGGATTGCCACAGGTTGGCTGGCGAAAAAACGCATAAAAAGGAACGTTGAAATTATTGACGCAATGGCAACCATGAGCAGGTCAAATGTTGAAGCTCCAGGAGCTCCGAGAAATCTGTTGAGATTTAACGACCCAAAAATACCGCCTCCACTCCTCTTTCTCCGCTGCTCAGGACGTCGCGGCATTACCATTTCGTCACTGAAAAATATCTGTCGAGAGATGTAATGTGACGATTGATCGGTACAGCAGCACAGCGTCAGCGGAAAATAGAAAAAAAAACAGAAGGAGAGCGGAAGAGGAAATCCCAACAAAACATGCAAACGACATTGTTAAAAGGCCAAAAAAAACGAGCGAACAAT